AAATTTTATTGGAACATAGTCACGCTCATTAGTTTTCAGATTGCTTATGGCCACTTTTGGACTACAGTAGTAATTGAATACCTGGAATGGAAACTGTATGGTCAACAAGACCCAGAGTGTTTGTTCTTTGCCCCTTTACAGAAAGTTTGTTGACCCCTGATTTAATAAAAATAAGCCTGTACCTGGAACAAAAAACCCCCAAAGCTTTGATTTTTTATTTTGCTGTTTTCTAATTTTATTAAGACCAGGTGCATTCATAGAGGTTTGGCGATGGTCATATTGCAGGGATTTTCTATATAGTTTGTATTTTTGCTTTTCCAATTTCTAAAGGTATACAAACCATTTCCTCCCTTGGTGTGCTTGTGATCCTTAAGGCAGTGTCACAGTTCAGCCAGTAGAGGGCGCACGGGCAATGGAAGGAAAACTGTCACAACACTAATCTGCGATCTGCTACAGAAATGCTTTGCTTCATAGAATCTTTATTTGCTGTTTCATGTTTCATTTAAATTTTCTTAAAAATTTAAATCATGAATTATTGAACTGTTTGAGACTAAACTTTAGTTCTTAAAGCTTAGAGATTGTCTACATCAAACTTTTCCATCTTCGAAGTGAGGATGATGATATTTGCCAAGCTGCCTTTATCAACATGGTTGAGGAGCATAAGTGAGAAAATGTATTTTATAATATTTTATGAACTGCAAATGATCACATAAGACTTAATAGCATTTCATTTCTCAGTTCGGTTTTACTAAGCAAGCATATTACATTGCTATTTGAGAACTTATTTTTCAAGTATATATTTAGTTCTCTTGAAGGGAATATTGTTTCTGCCTTATGCCCAGCACACGTCTGAAGAAATCATAGGCTTCCAGATATTTATTGAATCAATAAATGAATACATTTTGGGTGAATGAATTCTGTCTTGTCACATTGGTTGCATGTGGGAAAAAATGCAATTTTTGATAGACTAGTATAGTATTCGCTGAAGACTCAGGTAACTTTCAACTGGGAAAGGGTTAGTGGTGTTTAAGATAGCAGGTTTCTCATCATCTCTGAATCAAGGTAATTTCTTTTTCGATTTTACTTTGGATTGAAGTTTGTACCTGTTAGAAGAATAAAGATCACCCGCACTATAGAGGAAACCCTGGTATGATGCTACATAGAATTAACGTTCCTTTCCCTTGAATCCCTCCAGGGTGATAAATCTGTCAGAGTTATGCGTTCTTTGCTGGCCGCCCAGCAAACGTTTGTGGATCGGCTGGTGCACCTGATGAAGGCTGTGCAGCGAGAAAGTGGAAATCGTAAGAAAAAGGTAAGCCTTTGGGCTTGGCTTTCTGTTTACAACAAATATAATAATATCTTGGTATCATAAAACCCTGAGTTTTGGCACTGTCTCCTTGGTTGATATATTTTGTGAAATTCTTATCATATAATTACAGGCGTACCTTGGAGATACTGTGGGTTTGGTTCCAGACCACTGCAGTAAAGCGACTATCCCCACCACGAAGACAGTCACACAATTATTTTTGGCTTCATTGTGCATACAAAAATTAGGTTTACGCTATTCTGTAGTCTGTTAAGTGCACAATGGTATCATGTCTAAAATAACAGTGCGCATATCTTAATTAAAAATACCTTATTGCTGAAAAATGCCAGCCATCATCTGCGCCTTCACAGATCGTAATCTTTTTGCTGGTGGAGGGTCTTGCCTTGAAGTCGATGGCTATTCACTGATGAGGGTGGTGGTTGCTGGAAAAGGGGTGGCTCTGGCGATTTCTTAAAGTGAGGCGGTGGTGAAGTTTGCTACATCAGTTGACTTCTTTCTTTCACCAACGATTTGATTTCACTGTAGCAGGCATGGCGTGTTGATAGCACTTCACCCACAGTAGAATTTCTTTCAGAACTGGAGTCACGTCTCTCAAACCCTGCCACTGTTTTATCAACTCTAAGTCCTTTATCATCATCTCTAAGTCCTTTATCATCATCTCAGCAGCCTTCACAGCATCTTCACTAGGAGTGGATTCCATCTCAGGAAACCACTTTGTTTCCTCATCCTTAAGAAGCAGCTTCTCAGCTGCTAGTTTTACCATGAGCTTGTAGCAAGTCACATCTTCAGCCTCCACTTCTAAGTCTAGCTCTCTTGCTGGTCACTGCCTCCACTGAGGTCTTGAGCCTCCCAAAGTCATCCTGAGAGTTGGAATCGGCTTCTTCCAAACTCCTGTGAATGCTGATACTTCGATCTCTTCCTGTGAATCATGGTTATTCTTCATGGCATCTGGAATGGTAAATCCTTTCCAGAAGGCTGTCAATTTACTTTGCCCAGATCCATCAGAGGAATCACTGCCAATGGCACTTAGAGCCTTAGGACATGTATTTCTTAAATACTAAGACTTGAAAGTCCTAGTCCTTGATCCACGGGATGCAGAATGGATGTTGTGTTGGCAGGCATGCAAACGACATTAATCTCCTGTACATCTCCATCAGAGCTCTTGGGTGACCAGGTGCCTTGTCAATGAGCAGTCATATTTTGAAAGGAATCTTTTTTCCTTAGCAGTTGGTCTCAACAGTGGGCTTAAAATATCCATTAAATCATGTTGTAAACAGATGTGCTGTCACCCATGCTTTGTTATTCATTTGTAGAGCACAGGCAGAGTCAGTGTGGCATAATTCTTTAGGGCCTTAGGATTTTTGGAATGCTAAATGAGCACTGGCTTCAACTTCCAGTCACCCATGGCTTTAGCCGCTTTAGCCCCTGACCAGAGAGTCAGCCTGTCCTTTGAAGCTTTGAAGCCTGACGCTGGTTTCTCCTCTCCAGCTATGAAAGTCCTAGATGGCATCTTCTTCCAGTAGAAGGCTGTTTTGTCTGCACTGAAAATCTGTTATTTTAATGGAGCCACCTTCATGAGTTATCTGAGCTGGAGCTTCTGGAGAACCCGTTGCAACTTCTCCATCAGCCATTGTGGCTTCACCTTGCATGCACTTTCCTTAAACCCCATGAACCAGCCTCTGCTTGTTTCAGACTTTTTCTTCTGCAGCTTCCTCACCTCTTTTGGCCTTCATAGAACCGAAGAGAGTCAGGGCCTTGCTCAGGATAGGGCTCTGGCTTAAGGGACTGTTGTGAGTGGCTTGATGTTGTGATCTGGATGGAGACCGCTAAAACTTGCTCTGTGTCAGCGATAAGGCTGTTCCACTTTTTTATCGTTTGTGTGTTCACTGGAGTGACGCTCTTTATTTCCTTCAAGAACTTTTCCTTTGTAGTCACCATTTGGCTGTTCAGCGTAAGAGGACTAGCTTTTGATCTGTCGTGGCTTTCAATGTGCCCTCCTCGCTGAGCTTAATTATTTCTAGGTTTTGATTCAAAGCGAGAGACATGTGACTCTTCCTTGATCACATCGGAGCCGTTGTAGGGTTGTAAACTGGCCTAATTTTGATATTGTTGTGTCTCAGGGAATAGAGGAAGAGAGGAGGGGAATGGCTGGTCAGTGGGGCAGTCGAAAACACGAGTTACAGATTAAAATGTTGGTTCCCTGTTTTGTGTGGGTGTGGTTCGTGACACCCCAAAGCAGTTACATAGTAACATGCAAGATCATTGATCCCAGTTCACCATAACAAACATAATAATGAGAAAGTTTGCCAAGTAGTGGTGTGTGCTGTGGAGGAACATAAAGCAGGAAGGGGGGTGAAGAAGAGCTGGGTTCGGGTATTGGGCTGTTTCACTTCTCAGTGAAGTGGTCAGGAAGGCCTCACTGAGGGTTGACACATGGATAAAAAAATCCATGCGAATATCTAAGAGAAGACCATTCTACCCAGAGGGACAGCGGGCACGAAGTCCCTGATCTGGGAGCACACGTGACTTGATTGAGAAATCGGAAGAAGCCCAGGGCATTTGGCCACATATTCTCCCTTTAACAAGCTCACCTGTTTAAAGAATGCACAACTCAGATTTCAAAGGAAACAGTTCTTTTGAAAGTGAATAGGTGGGCTTAGTCTAAACACCGAAGATCCTGCTAAGTAGCAAAGCTGTTTTGCACCATGACTTGAATTTCTCAGTTTCTGAGCTCTCGGCTCGGTGCATTGTGCATGTGAGCCAAAGGAAATAAGTGATGGGATTTTAGGGAAAATTTGATCAGACGCAGCCAATGAACAGTAAAGCTAGGGTCCAGGTTCCTCCAAGTGAACTGAGCTGACTTTCTAAACCCAGAACTTGCCGTGGAGCAGCTAATGAAATTCTTGCTTAATATTTGGTCAGGCTTCTAATGGAATCATAGTTTCGCTTTGTGACTTCACAGATCCTTTGAAAACAGAAATTGACTCTTTTAGTCCAGCTTGAGTATATTCCTGATTCTCAGTTGCAGCAAGAGAAATACATCCCCTACCCTTGTGAAAGTCTATAGTTTTTCACAGGTCAAGGGACTGCTCCTTTGAAAGCATGCCCCACTGTTGCCAGAAGAATTGTAAGTGCTTGTCCCTCATGCATAATAATCTCCTTTATTGTTACTTTTGCATATACTTTTCTGGTGCTTTGCAAGTATTTCAAAGTTAATAAAAATCTATCTATGCCTTTACCATCTGTTTTAAAAACTGCTTTTTCATTTGAAACCTCATTAATACTTTCTGACTTGTTCTCCTAGAATGAGAGGCTACAGGCATTGCTTGGAGACAATGAAAAAATGAACTTGTCGGACGTGGAACTTATTCCATTGCCTTTAGAACCGCAGGTGAAAATTCGAGGAATAATTCCAGAAACAGCTACACTCTTTAAGGTAATTGTGATGGATCGTTCATGTATACGATTGGACCTGATTCTTTAAAGCTAGAGCAGACACTACCTTTGAAAAAAGATACCTTTTACTTACCAGTGTGTTTGACGATCTTTTTATTACCAAGAGGCATTTTTATATGAAATGTATAAAATATTTTTATATCTCTGAGTTGTTGTATTATCTTTAATTCTTCAAACTTTTTATTAATCACCACACCTGCTTATTTCCATGTAAGCTTTTTTTAAAAAAAAAGAAGTTAATTTGCAAACTTAGACATTTAGTTCATAAGTTCACATGGTTAGATATGAGTCCCAATTAACTTTAAAATTTCTCAATCTGATACCTGTCCCTATGACTTAAATTTTTTCTTATATTTTCCAATGTAATCACTCCCTCTAGTCCTTAACAGAATGCCAGGCTTCCTTTTGGCGGGCCACCACTTGGATGGCTAGGAAGAACTGGAGGCAGCTGCCTTCTGTAATCAGGCCAGAGGACTGAACATCAGTACTTGTGAAGCATCCTTATCTGCTGGGCATCGTATTGGAAGCTCTGTGTGAGACATGATGGTTTAGGTTTTCTAATTCTAGGAGTAGAAGGGCATAAGTTGCTTTGGGATATTACTTTGTATCAGGCAAGAAACTTAGGTATATAAAAAGGGATGTGATTACAGTAAGAAATAGTTCAGATTTTTTTTAAAGGATGTGTTTAAAGGCAACCCATGGCAGCCCAGCTCACACAACTGAAACACAAGTTTCATAAAGTGATACTTAACCTCATTTACTGCATGTTATGGACTCTTGATAATTTCTGTTCTTTTAGAAACTCTTCCATCAGGGTAATTTTTAACCGTTGGTTGCAACTTATTTGATCGGTTTTAAAACCCATAATGAATTATAACCTGCAACTTGGAAAATGTTGGTACAGAAAATAAAATGCAACTATTTCTTAGTTTGTGCTTTCAATCTACTGGAGGCTGAAATGAAAAGAGCTACACACAAGACAGGATTTACGTAACAGCTGGTGTTCTTTGGACTCAAACTCCTAAGTAAGATCTGCTTCTAGTATTCGCGTTCCCAAAGGACTAATCCGGGACAGTGGGTCGAAAAAGTAATTTCATTTTTTTTTCAAAGAGGATGGCAAAGAATATCTTAAGACATAGAGCAGTTGAAAGAGTGGGATATAAGAATTTATGTTTGTCACCATTGTTAGGTGAATTTCGGACCCATTTCTTTTCCTTAATATAATTTTATAATGTGTCTTACATACACAAAGTAAATGGTTAATAAAATATCATGGGGCATCTTTTTAATTCTAATAGCCAGTCCTCATTTTTTATTTTTCCTTCCAGCCCTTATTAAGTATGTGGACATTCTTGAAAATTCTGAGTTGAACTTTAAGGTTCATGGATCTAGGGCATTTACTGTGTAACTCCAGCAGAGTAATTCTTAGCCATTTTTGGGTCGTGAGTGTCTTTAACAGTGCAGTGAAAGTGATGGATTGGACACTTCAGAAAGTTACTCACATGCTTGTATATACACTGAGATGTCTGCGCACAGCTGTGGGGAATCCATGAATTCTTGTCTTTTCATGAACTCCTTAGAGCTGCAAAGGTTATGGACCAGTTTTTGATATTATTAAATATTATTTTCTAAACCATAGCTTAAGGACAGAGCGGGATTCCACGGGGAGTGAACCCGTAAGGCACTGGGATTAGTACTTAGTTTTCCCGTGGTTGTCCTCTGTCTGCATTAGATTTCAGATTCAGAATCAGATTCAAATCTGAAAAGAGCAGTGACAGCCTAGAACCTCTTGCCTGTTGGGCATCTTTGGGAAAGTCCCTTCCAGCTGTTCTTGAGCTTTGTGAGCTAGGATGCGAGGTAATTGATAAAGTATATTTTTGCCTGAGTTGATAAAGGGATACAATTTAAGATAGTTTAAAGTTTGGAGTTTCAATCCCCTGGAGATTCTAAGTTCTAACCATATATTCTTTGAAGCATTTTTGGTGCTTTTCCCTCCAGCATTTGTAGGAAAGTTTTCAGACACACAGCAAAGTGGGAAGAATTGTACAGCAGACAACTGTATACGTACCACTTCGATTCTGTCGTTAACATTTTACTGTGTTTGCTTTGTCACATGTCTGTTCGTCCCTCTATCTGACACCTTTTCTGCTCTTTATTTCTCATGGCCAAATACATTAAGATCATTATTACTTCTTTGTCAGACTCATTTTCTTTCGATTATTATAAATTTCCCCACGTTTCCAACTTACATAATTTGAAAGCAGTATTTTTACTTCCAGAGTGCCTTGATGCCTGCACAGTTATTCTTTAAGACAGAAGATGGAGGCAAATATCCAGTCATATTTAAGCACGGAGATGATTTACGCCAAGATCAGCTTATCCTCCAGATCATTTCCCTCATGGACAAGGTGAACATAACCTTTTGTGGGTAAAAAACATTTTTTTCATTTTAGAAATCTGTGCTTTAGCGGTTGTGCTGTGCATGAACCCAGAATCATCTGTAACATTCAGGTACAGTCTTAGAAAGCGGAACAATCTCCACTTACCTTCAGCAAATTTGGTTGTTTTGTCCACTGCAGGATGGCTCTCATGATGAGTATAAAATGAAACTGCATGTGTTCCTTGCTATAAAAACTTTTTTCCCAGTTATGTTCTGTGTTGGATTTAGTAATTTTCTTCCTCTTAGTCAAATAAATCTTCTTGTCTTTTTTTTTTAAATCCCATTTCTGTCCCTGGCTTTTAAAGGAACATTGGTCCTCATTTCCTTTTTCTGAGTTCTGAACACTTTATGAACAGAAAGGACTGCATAAGTCCTTAGGAGAAACCCTTCTGTGCACTGAAAACTGAGAGTGATTTAGAAAAAGATTTTTAAAATTTGACGTATCACCATGTAAAGTGCTTAATACATTTATTTTGATGGTCACAATTAACGAATTTAATTAGACCTTAATTTGGGTTTACCTTCTAAATCTCTGTTGTATTAACTTCTATAATACTTGCCCACAAAAAGTTAAATTAACTAATTTAATTAAACCTGAACTTAGGTTTACCGTCTAAATCTCTATTAGATTAAATGCTATAATACTTGCCTACAAAATTATTTCATAACAGTCTTTACATTTGGTTAATATATCTTTTGCTCTTAAGCTGCTACGGAAAGAAAATCTGGATTTGAAGTTGACACCCTACAAAGTATTAGCCACTAGCACAAAACATGGTAAGTTTATTTTCTACCAGGATTATTATTTCAAAAGGAGTATGCTTTTCCTTTTGTAATTGAAAATTAAGAAGAATGTTAGAGACTGAACTCATCTGTAGCTCTGAATCTCAGTTGGGCCTCCCATCCGCCCCCTCCCTCCTTCCTGCATTCCTTTTACCTCTTGAAATTATTACACAGCATATTTGGAAGAAAACTTAACAGCTTTCTGGTATATTTCTTAGCATTCAAAACTAGTTATAATCCATGATACTTTCCTTTCTTGGCGACCTGTGTCTGGAATCATCTCTTGAGAGTTAGTAAGACCCAGAGAGACTTTGTGCTATACACGCCACTCAGCAGATGATCAGATTTTTTTTTTTTTTTAGTTTATATTTAGAGCATCTAAGTCCTTCTGAGACTGAGTAACCTCTGAAAGTTTGGTGAAATGTTCCCTAGGAATGCTTGCCTGAGGCCTGTTGTGCATTTTTTTAGTCTTGTTACTCTTAGAAGCGCTTACCCTTAGGTCCCTTGGAGAAACAGATACCTATTTTAGGCTTTCTGTCCTTCCCCTGGCCACTCCCACATCTTTTTTTTTTCCTTTTTTTACCTGAAGTCCTAGAGACCTCGTGCATGCTAAGCATGCGCTCTGCCACTGAGCTGTATGCACCCCACCCCAATCTTTTTGATGGTTTAATCCCTCTTCTCATTGACCTCTCAGAATGATCTTGTTAAAAGTGTAAATATGCTCTTTTACTGTCCTGAATAAATTGATTTGCTGGCTTTCAATTGCTCTTGGGACAAAGACAAAGCCTTTTCCTAGCTGGCAGGTTCTTGCACGGTGTGCCCTCTCCTGCACCTGCCTCTGTCCCCCCTCCTCTGCCTCTGTCCCCCTTGCTTCTCAGGCTCCACTCTCCGTTTCCTCCAATGTATCTTTCTCCTTTCAGCCTTATGGGTGTTACTCTAACATCCTTTCCTCTAAAAGCTTTACTTATTAACCTTTATTATCCTTCAAAACATGGTTCAAATGTCAGACTCCTCCGATCCCTTTTGTAACTTAGGTCTCCCTGTCCTGTTGCTTTTCATGGTACCCTTTATTCATAGTTTTTATCCCAGTGAAACATGCAAGCTTGTGAGATCTCTGCAGGCAGGGTCAGGGCTCTATGTCTACTTACCTGGCAAAGTTCTTGCTACCTAGTAGAAAACCTGTAAGTATCTGTTAAGCACATCAATGCTGACTATTTGGTACTTGTGATGTAGAAATAAATGAGACATTTCTTACTCCAAAGAAATACACAATTTCCTAATTTGCATGCAAGTCATTATAATATAAGCCTCACCGAAACCAGCTCATGGTGGTTACGATCCTAGAATAGTTTCTCTTATTCAACTTTGACTTTTCACAGGTTTACAGTTTTAATACTTCTTTTGCTGTCCCCCGACTACCAGACTTCCTTTTTCTCTTGTCTCCTATAGACTGTCCTCTTGCCCTTCTTTTTGGTAGTTTAAGGGATTTATACTTCATTCCCATATCATTTCCAGGGAATGGCCAAAGATGCAGGATTACACACCAAAACGCCGATGAATGCAGGATGGTTTTAGGGTTAGATGATTGATACTCCACAACTCCAGATCTCCTAAAGTGATTTTAAATTCAGAATAGTATTAATTGACGTATATTATAAAGATACGAAAGAAGAAAAATTTTATGCCTAGTTTAAGAAGGCTAACCTATTACTTTGTGTTCCTTGTGTACAAAAATAGAAATTGGCTTAGAGAAGCATACAGATTGTCAGCTTAAGTTTTCTTGAAGATGTTCCCTTATCGTCCCCATGACATAAATGCTAGTGTGTACTTAATGTTCTGCTAATAGCCCTCTTTAACCTGGTCAGGTTTGTAATGTGTACATTTGCAAATGACGATGCTTCTTAGCAGAATCTTTATTTCTGTCGCGTAAGCAATCGCTCTGCTTAATGCAATGCATTTACTTCTGCGTAGGCTTCATGCAGTTCATCCAGTCAGTTCCTGTGGCTGAAGTTCTCGATACAGAAGGAAGCATTCAGGTACAGTATCTACTTTAAAGATTTATAAATTTCATGAATACATTCTCGTTATAGAAAGTTTAATCTTTATAAAAAGTATATGAAGTTAAAAACGGAAGTCTCTTTTTAATCACCGTTCTTCCCTCGTTGTCATTTTCCTTCCCTGAGAAATAAACAATGCTAATAGTTGGAAACACTTCCATGTTAGTACAGGTAAGTGTTCAATTCCTTAAACCATGCCTGGCATGTGATAGGAGATCAGGAGTTAATTGGTGAACACGTTTTTAAATTTGTTTGTAAGCTTATGGCAATATTATATTCGAAAATACGGAAATATTACAATTTATTTAGCCATCAGTGAACAGTTTATTTCCAGTTTCTGTTACTCAGAACAGCGCGACAGTGATATTCTTGCTCACACGTGTTTTGCACAATTATTTTTTTTTTTAAGACCCTTATCCTCCCCTCCCAACCTCACTGCTCCCCTTTAATATGAGGAAAGGCAAATAGTTTCTGGGACTAAGCCATTTATATCTTTGGAATTTTTTTACATATTAAATACGTGAGTCCGTTCTTACTGCATCTTAGTAGTTTCTTTTTGTTATCCTTTAAGTGCAGTTTTTCTTCTTCCCTAAGAAAAAGGTACCTAATTCACACAGAAAAATTGATGTGCCTGAAATGAACAATACAGAGAAGGGCTTGATAGAGGATATTTACCACAGTGTGGTTTTGTCGTTCTCAGTTTAGAGTGTCTAGGTAATTCTGGACTATGTAGACCATTGAGGGTGCCTGTGTCACCAGCCCCTGCTAAAAAACCTTGGTGTTGAGTCTCTCAGGGGCTTTCCTGAACAGTAGCACTGCACCCATATGCTGCCCCTTCTTTTTTGTCCCTATTGGGGAACGGTAGAAAGGATGCTTAGTGGGTCCCCTCACAGAAGGGAGCAAGGACTGTGCATGGATTTCATAGGCGTTTGCCTGTGTGTTTGTCCCATGCTGGTCCTGTTGTCTGTACTGTTGCTATAATGCACCTGACTTGTGCTGTAAGTTGAGTCTTTGACTCCGTCTGACAAATCAGCCCATCAGAGGAGTAGGGGACCCCTTGACAGACCCTTCAGGGCCTGGTTTCTGTACCTGTAAAATTCGGGTAATAACTAATCGTGCCTAGCTCCAGGGTTGTTCTGAAGATGCACGCAGAGCTTAAACATACTGAAGTAGTTGTTTAATAAAGCCGTCGATTACCGTGTTGCTCCTTGCAATTATGATTTTATAAAATAAAGACTGACAGTTTGTGTATCGATTCTTGATTCCACGTGTGACACGTGTAGTTTTTCTGAGTCATAGGTTAACTCATCTTCAACATCAGTAGATAATTAAAAATTGTTTTCTGAAATGGCTTTTGGAAACAGCTGTTTCTCACTGCCACACGTCTTTGCCAGATTTTGGTATTGACTGTGATTTAGTTTGCATTTCCATCATTACCCACAAGGTTGAGCATTTAAAAATATCTGTATAGGCCATTTATTTCTTCTGTGAAGTGCTTGTTCACATCTTTTCCCCATTTTCCTGTTGGGTTGTTTGTCTTTCTTTTATTGATTTATAGGAGTTCTTTATATATTCTACATATATATCCTTTGTCAAACTTAGTGTTCAAAAAAGCTGAAAGCATAGGATAAACTTTTTTTTTAATGATATGTTGGTTGTATTTTCAAGTAATATACTCTGTTTATTTTTCTTTAACATGCAGATGTAAGGGACTAGGTCCAATTGGTAACCTGGATAAAGAATAAATACACTATTTTCCCCAGTGTTGCCAGACTCCGTGGATACTGTTGTACATTGATTGTGCCCCTATAATTCTTTGGTTCAGTCTGCATCTCTTATATTTATCTTTCCATCAATTTCCTCTAAATCTGAAAATTCTCAGTAATGTAGTCTAATTATTTTTAAAAATTGGGTGTAATTTTATTATTTGTTAATGGTGATAATGTTTCAGTAGCTCTACCTTAAAAAGTAATTTTAAAAAGTCATGCTTTTAGGAGAATGTATGATACAAAAAAAATAACCCATGTTTACTTTTAAGAGAAAGATGAAACAAAGTGATGAATTAAACATAGAGATATAGCAGTAAATTTGTTTTTCCTATGGTATAGAAGTAGCACCCTTATATATTCTTTGTTTGTCTTAACAGTCTATAAATATAATAATAAAACTGGTTCCTGAGGGATAAGCTTTCTAAAGTCCACATTTTATAATTATTGACTAAGTTTTAGACCAGACACCTATTGGTCATTATTTACAATTTTAAAACGGCTCATTTGTTGAAGCATTCTATTGAATTTGTAAACATGTAAATGGTAACTTTTCAGAACTTTTTTCGAAAATACGCACCAAGTGAGAATGGGCCGAATGGGATCAGCGCTGAAGTCATGGATACTTACGTCAAAAGCTGCGGTAAGTTTTTCAAGTTACTGCTTTTCCCTGATACATTGGAATAAAGGAAAGCAAGCTGTCCTGACATTACCACACTCAGACACATTTAGGATGTGTTAAGATTTTTTTCTTGGACCGTTTGGGCCACAATGACAAAATACCAGAGACTGCACTGCTTATAAAGAACAGAAATTTACTTCTCACGGTTCTGGAGGCTGAAACCTGAGATAAGGTGCTAACATGGTCGGTGAGGACCTTCTTTGGGGTCAAAGACTTGTTACTGTATCTCCACCTGTTGGGAGCTCTGTGGGGTCTTTTTTATAAGATATTAATCCCATTCATGGGGACTGAGCACCTCCCAAAGGTCCCATCTCCTGATACCACCACCTTCAGCATTAGGATTTCAACATGTGAACGTTGAAATTTTGAGGGGACACGTTCAGACCGTAACATTTTTAAATGCTGTATGAAAAGAAGATTAAGAGATAAAATATGATACAAGAAGTTATTAATGTTTTGACATAATAATAGTCCTAACAGGATATAAGTTCTGTTCAGTCTTTAATGGATGTATCTTTGCAATCACATAACTATTTTGTAATTACAAGTTATTTCTTCCTGGAAGCTGTCATTTCCCCCTAGATTTTCCCTGTCTTGGAGTAACTGTAATTAAGCAGACTGTGGGAAAAGTCTCCAGTCAGGAAAAATTATGTCTTTGATAAATCTCAAAAGAGCTAAGATAACAGAGGAGGTGCCTCTCATGGTATTTTAAATCAGTACTTCCGCCCCCTCCTGGAAATAAGTAAGCAGTGACATGCCATGGGAGTTAATTCAAATATTTCCGCAATTTATGCCTATTCTCATGAAGTTTATATTCTGGAGGATTATTTTTATTTTCTTAAGAGATTATTGTTATTTTTTAAATATATAACTAGATTGTTTAAGAGAGGGTTAATAAAGGAGTTGACACTAGAGTTAAGCCCTGAATATTTTATATGGCCCTGTGACATATTATTCCTGTTTTATATAAGTATTCTTTTTATGTTTATGTCCGTATTTATACCTATGCTTAAGCAGTCAAAACTGGGGGATACACGCAGAGGACTTTCTAGACATACAACAACTATATATAAATATTCCTGTCATTTTCTGATTTATAAATTACTTTCTTATACATGACATTTTTTTTTCTTTTTTGCTCCTATGAAGGTAGTATTTCAGATTCTTTTATACTGCATAATTTATTCTCAGATTTATACTTGATGATACATTTTTGGCTGAGAAGTATAAAATGTAATATTCCTAGGAACTTTAAAAACAAAATAAAATGTGTGTATGTGTATTAGAATCCTTTATGGTTTTAATTCTTATTTTTACTGAAGGAACATACCATGTGTTTCATGTAACTGTGTTTTCCTGTAAAAATGATCACATACAGCGTATTTAGGTTTGAAGACTGAAGAAACATGGATTGAAGCATCCTGGAGGAAATGTTTCCTTTCTCCTGCTCACTCTGTATTTCTCCTTTCCCTCCCTCCCGCCCTGCTTTCCTTCCTTGCTTCTTTCCTTGCCCCCTTTTCTTTCTTTCTTGTTTTTCTCCATCAAGTCTGTGTTCTCTAAGATCTGAAAAAATTAACACATCATTTAAAGGCTTGACAGGTCGCTCAGATGGCTGGCAGTTTATTCTGCTTTTCAGCAAGGCTTGGCAACCAGGTCACCACTACGTGGCTTTTCCGTGTCTCGTGCTTCTCAGAGCTGGACTCCCAAGAGGAAGCATTCTAAGAGCCAGAAAGTAGAAACTTTTGGTTTGTGAAATCCTGCCCTGGGAAGCTGTTAGTGTGTCACTTGTATCATATTCTGTGGGTCAGAGGAGTCACAGGACCTGCTTGGATTCAAGGGGAAGGTATATAGTTCCCACCTTGAATGAAAAGCATGTTAAAGAATCTTTAATTCCACACCTAGATCTCAGTACCTTATTACAGGAGGTATGTTGCATGCCCTCGGCAATTACCTTGTGTCTTTCTACTTTCAGATACTTACTGTAAACTGTTTTACATCATAAATCTATATAATAAAGGACTGTTAACTTTTTTTCCTTGAAATAAACATACAAGCAACCTATAAATGTTGACTGAAACTTGAAAACTCTGCTCATTTAGTAAAATTACTGGAACAATATTTTATAATAGACGTCCTAGTGTTGTGCCTTTTGTCTGGTGTTCCATTTTTTTCCCCAAGGGCTCATGAAAATATGACTACTTTTAATGTTTGAAAAATAGCCATTTAAGTTGTACCTACTGGACAGTTAATTCAAATTAGATCTTATTCCTTTGTTTCTTTCCCAGCATTTCGCACTTGTTCACATCCTGATAACTGATTTGATGGCAGGCCTTCTCTTCACCTTACTCTGAATGGCCTTCCATTTTCTATATATCTTGCTATGTTATAAAATAATCTTTAGTGTTTTAGTGAGTTTGGTAGCATCCCAGGTAATAGTGGTGGTTGAAAGCCATTGATGCATTTTTCATTAGTAGATATAGTGCTTAATAAGTTGCTACTTTGTACTAGAATCTGATGGTTGGACATTATCATATAGATGCATGTATAACTTTCATTTTAAGAAGCAATGTTTTAGGTTTTTGGCAGAGTGTAAGAAGAATAAAGCTCTAGTAGTAACGGTGACTTTTTTCCCAGATTATGCAGGGTGTCAGATCTAGATCATGCAAGTAAATATGGGAACACTGATTATTCTCACACCCATATCTTTACTAAGTAAAGGGAAATAGTATCATTTAGTTGTCTGTATTTCTCTGTGTTTTACTTTAAATCAAAGTTGTTTATAAAACCAATTTCAAGATCTTTGTGTATCTCTCATGGGTTCAAAATACTAATGAACAGCATCCTTTTGACAAGATTCTCTGGCCAGGTATACTATTTCTGTTAAGTAATAAATTCAGTTTTCCTAAAAATCCTCTGACACACTCTGTATCATTCTCAAATTGTTCTGAATATTATTTATGTCCTCAAAATTTCTGAGGATCATCCAACTCAGATATCTTTTTCAAGAGGTAATCTTTTAAGTATTGACATTTGAATTATTGAAACACCCCAAATTCTCACCTCTACCATTCATATATATGCATGAAAGAGGAAGAGATCAGACACTATCTCACTTGACTTAAAAAACCATTTGTTGAGGATGGTGTGGAGAGGTTACTGTCGGTGGAGACTCCAGGGGAGTTGGGGGAGCGTTCACTGAAATGACTATCAAACACGTTTATGACCTTAACCCACCGAGGCAGGCAGGGTAAAAGAGTAAAAGGCTTTTTCTCGTGCATTTTCCATTTCCACTGGAAAATAATCC